TTATTTATTTATGGTGCTTCGGCCCCCCAATTGTCTGAAACTTTCCAAGAAAATCTGTGACAAGATTGCCTTAAGTCAGAAACAACTTGAAGGCAAAACAATACAATGAAGAGTGGCTATTAAAACTCAGTGATTTAACAGAAACGACAAGCTATTTTGATTAAACATGATTCTTTAACAGGTTTTTTGAAAGACTTGAAATCACTAATTTATTTTTTGGGAGAAAATGAGGGCAATTTGATGATTGCTGGTTTTGTTAATTAATGTTGAGTTATATGAACGGTAACCATTAAACACAGAAGAGAGGTTGAATTTAAGAGGCAAAATATACATGTAGAAAAGCTAGTTGGCAGTCACCTTTTTCTGCCTTGTTAGTAGTAGTTTTATTTAGAAGTGTATAAGGTATGGCAGATTATATGTGTAGCTTTTGTTGTTTGCAGACTGTCATTGTCATATGTGATATTTAACTTTTCAAATGTAGATTTTATTCAATAAAAATGATAAGCAAAAAACAACAACTGGGAGGTATATTTCAGGGTTACTTGCGAGGTGGAGGAAAAATGCATAGGGGCCATTCTTTACCAATTCATGGCCTAAGGTCTGTAATGTTTAGATGTTTTATTGTCATTAAGGTGCTAGACAGCTTTCAGGGTATTCATGCTTACAATAGGCTTTAGTGTTTTAAAGTACTAAATAATATTAAAATAATTTTTGTGAGCTGTTTTGTAAAGTAATTTGTTTGATGTACTTATTAATGTTAAGAAATTGCCAATGTTCAATATGTTTTAGTGTTCAGTATTTTTTGTAATTTTTGTCTGAATGGTTTATGTATGAAAACAATTAAGAAAGCTATATTCGACATCCAGTGATGTCACTGCTGTCATGCATAGTTGACAGGAGTAGGGAATTTACATTTAGTTAGTACAAGGACACAATCCAGCTGTTTTCTACTGTGTGCTGGCTGAAGTACTACTGAAGTAGACCAAGTCTACAAAAACTACAAAAATTGTAGTTAAACTCAAAGGTGCTACATGATGTGTTTGTACACTGATATTCCAGACTAACACGCCTATGTCTCTGAATGGTGGCATAATTCACTCAGAATAGGGATGAATTTTGCATATCTGGAAAAGCATAGGCTGTATCAAGTTAGTCCACACCTGCAGTCATGATTACATATACCAAGAAAAAGATTTACCACACACTAACTAGGGATCATGTCCCTCTAAATATAGTGGGATGTACCAAGACGTATCTTATTCAAAGGCAAGGTCAACCACTAAATATAACCACATTTTGTGAGAAATCCCATTTTGAGAGCAAAATGGGATATAAATTCAATAAATAAACAAGTCACAAACACAAATAACGAGTGCTTATCAAGCCAAAACAGGGTTGGTGAAGAGTATCCTAGAAGCACTGGCATCCTCAGAAGAACTACAGAAGTTTCAGAAGTACAGAAAACTTTTTTTTTTTTAGAAAAAGTAATAAGAACCAAATAAGAAGTAATAAAATAACCCAAATAAGACATATTTCTCAATAAAGAGTGGTGGAAGAATAGAGAATTAATGAATGATGTTTCTGTTTAAAAAAGCAAAAAGGATTTCAGGGTGATATACCTTAAAAGGTAAAAGCAATACAAAATCAAAACAAAATGGAACAAATGAAACAAAGCATATTACATTGTAAAAAATTCTAAAGGACAGCATGGCTGGCTGGTTGGCTAGACAAACTTTTGAACCAGAATATTGTTAGGGAGCTGCAGATATACTGCTGCGTTTTGTTACAGACCCCAAATCTACCTTTCTAAGGGCCTGAACAAACTGCCAGAAATAATCCAGCTAGAGACCACTTTAACTGTCCTGGCTGAATGCTAAGGAATCATGGGAATTGTAGTTTTTCTGAGGCATTGAGCCTTCTTTGTCAGAGAGCCCTGGTGCCACAATGAACCACAGTTCCCATGATTCCCCAGCACTGACCCAGGGCAGTTAAAGTGGTCTCAAGCTGAATTATTTCTGGCAGTCTGTTCAGGCCATAAGTATCTAAGAATGTTACTAACCACTGCACCTATCTATGATGTTGTTTTAACAATAAAATGTTGATTTCCAAAGTGTATTACAAATGATTGCAACAGCAAACACACTAACTAGGGATCATGTCCCATTAAATACAGTGGGCTTTACCTTTGAATAGCCATTAGTAGGCCTGGACAGCACAAGTTTCCTTGCATG